TTAAGCCCCAAAGACCCTCCCCTCACCTTGGTTTCTGCACTCGAGCCCCCGACGAAAGATTTACGCTGCAGAGACCCCGAAGAGCCCGACGACGCAACTATCCGCGATCGAAGTTCTACTTAACTCTAGCCTCTCTCTTCAAACTTAACGAGTGAGTTCATACCCCTACTTTTCAATTCTTTTTCATGTTTTAGGGGGGGGAATACAAGTACAGTACACGTTAAAGTATCGTTTTATAAACATAAATGAAATTTCTATCTTCGAATATCGATACAAACATCTTATGTATACAAGAGCTATTATGTCACTAAGTTATTTCTACTAAATGGAACATACTATCTGAAAAACTATAATGGGTATAGTTAACTAGTCAGTCCTACATTTTACATGTACATCTTGAAAAAAAACGAAACACTTTCAAAAGAAGTAAGGTCATTTCATTGTAAATCTACTTATACTAGGCAATGTGAGATATTCAAACTTCAACGTACATTTTTGTATGCATTTCAAGTCATGTATTATATACCATAATCTCTTGGAGGGAGAGCGTGATACTTGTGTATAGATCTATACGGGATTGACAATCCCGCACCTAAACTACTAGCTATAGTTAGACCGGCAGGTCTGGGGTGACAAATGTCATAACACTGCAACACCTGAAGAATGTTGTTACAGGCCATCAGTGTCAATATCATGGTTATAAAACTCACATAAAAGTATAAAACAAGATTGATTTACGAGATTCATATGTGCATTGCAGCTTTCTACATTAGTTTTCATACAAAGTGGTTTTTTAATCATTCAAGTATAAAAGATACCAACACCTTCCAACTTTGGAAACTTTTTGAATCACTTACAAGGAAATATTGGATTTTCTGAAAACCGCGTTTACCAATTTACTACAAAAAAAAGGGATATACTTTTCAACTCGAAACACTCATGAATTCACCAACTTAATTGTTGACACTTTTCAAAACCCCTTGTATTTCTCAGGGAATCAGTGATACAGGTAACTACCAGCTTTTGGGAGAAGGAACACTAAGGATGTTTATATTATTGAACATTTAACATCATATTGTAATATTCTTTTGATAACATGTATAACGCAACAATATACGTTTTCATTTTATATATATGATGGTTGTGTTACTTTCTTTACAATATTCAATTGTTGTGATACTACGTGAAGTCATCCGCCCCCGAATGTTTCCGCCATTCTGGTTTGGGGGTGTGACACCAACCATCTTCACATCATCATTTGATTTCTTCAATGCACTTCCCCCAATCACAAATCTTGACCTAATGCCAACACTTCCCTTTTCTCCCCCTTGTAGCCTTGTGGAAACAGGTGGGACATCAGTTGGCATCATTTGTATGATTTTGGCGAGTGGTGCAAGCTCATGTTGAATTGTGGAATCTAACAAGTTAGATTTTCAGAAAGGAGCTCTGGAGTTGTTAACGAAGAAGAGAAAAAGCTAGACTTCAACACCTATCCCTTCAATTCAACCAACATAGTATCAATCTTGCTAAGACTCATGTTATTTTCATCAAACTTCGTGGCAACCTTCAGAAGTAAAGCTTCGTACAATGTTTCATACTTAGTTACAACATCAACAATAATGTCCACCTTCTTGTGAAGAGAATAATAATTGTGTTCTAATGCTACAACTTCCTTTTCCATGTCTTCATGAAGTTCTTCTATTTTCTGGATAACATCTTCTCGAACTTTCTTTACATTTTGCACAACCAACACATGCCCTTCCCTTGCAATAGCTTTTAAATCTGTAAGAGCTCCATTAAAGGACTCAGGTAGAGCTTTGATCCTTAATTTGTTGCATTTATCCATTTGATCAAGCTTATCTTGAAGATGATGCTTTTGACCTTTAGCATCACATCCACTTCTAACCCTGAGACTGAACATTTTTGCCCTGCATCTTGTCACACCCCTGGTCGAGGCGGCGGAACACACCAGCAGTGCGATTAAGTTCACGAATCACAGACAAATTGAATATATAGCACATGTACAACAAGAAACAAAATACCATTTTCATTCCATTCTGATGTTTGAATACAAGATTCTTACAAATAATCATAATAATACATGAATTTTCCTTAACTGATAGACATATAATACGACTGCAAGTAAACTTGGTCACCTATAATCTAATCTGGCTTGAATGTTTATTTAGTAGTTTCCTGAGAATACATGTAGTTTTGAAAGTCACTACAAGGTTGGTGAGTGTCACAGGTTTTCTGCTATGCAGTAATACTTTTAATAAGTCTAAAAAGATTATCCTTATATGTATAACAATAGTTAAAAACAGTTTTTTTAATGACTCTTTAAGAGCCCAAAATGTATTTTGGTATAAGTAAAATCATACTTTAAATTGTGCTTGCGATAAATCCTTGAAAGCCAAAATGTACCTTTTGTATAAGTAAATCCATACTTTAAACCGTATTCGTAATAAATCATTGAATATCTTTGAAGACCAAACTGTTATGTTATATAAGTAATTCCATACTTAAAAATACCTTTGAAAGCAACAAAGCCCATGGATGTTAGTGTGTGTGTGTGTGTGTGTGTGAGAGAGAGAGAGAGAGATCACTAGTTAATGTTTTTAGTGAGTCTTATAACCGAGATATCTGACTGAATGTACCCCCTACAATGCTTCATTGGACGTTGTAGTAATGAATGTAGACACTTGACACCCGCTTCGATTGATCAGTCGAGAGTTGTAGCTAGCAACCGCAGGTGGGGATGTCATCCCCGTATAGATCTATATGTATGTATCTCGCATCGAAGATTAACAGTTATAATATTGTGGGTAGGCTAAGTAATTAAACTCAGCTAATGAATAATATAACGTCTCACTAAAAAGCCCTAAACTAAAAAGTTTGTGAATAACTCTCAGCCCTAGCTTACTTGTGGGTAAGTCACTAACCATAATGAATATCATTGTATAAGGTTTATAAAAGTCGACGATGTTTGACATATATGTAAAACTGTAACGTACTCAATTTTATATAAAATAAATGTTTCAAATTAATGTACATATGTACATATATAAACGTTGTATAAACATGGTGTACTTAAACATATAAATAAACATGTTTAATAATAGCTTGAATCCCTTGAAATACTACAGAGTTTCATAATATACTTGTTATAATATACAATGTTACATAAAAATCATAAAATTTTGTATAAAGTAGAATATGTTGTGTGAACTTGATATTTCACAATAAAATAATCATAACATGTATAAGAAAGGTTTACAGTAGTTTATTTTTAAGAATACAATAAATTGTTAAATAATAGTATTTTTATAAACTATGTTTATTTTATTTTCACATAAAAAGGTAATTGGTTTCTATAAACAAAATATATTGGCACATGTATTCCCCCGAAATAATTAAAATATTAAAAGGGACCGTAAACACTCACCCTTAAAGCGTAAGTTCGATTCGTATGGTATTCAGATTCCTTTGGGAAACTGAGATTTGTTACGTAAAATTCCTTGTTCTTAAGACGAACCACCGAGTATATTTGTATTCCCTAATAAACCAAAGGGTAGTTTTGGTATTAATTATTCAGTATATAATGGTGTTTCTTAAATGAATAAACTCTTGGGTTTGATTTTGCCAAAATCATACTTCAGGGACTGATATTGAGAATTATATTCAAGACAGGAGTTAAACATGTGCATTTGAAACTGATTTGGGGTTTTAGGACTGATTTTGAAATAAGGTTTTAATAATGAGGGTAGTTTTCGATAAATCTAAATGAAAGTTTGAGTTACCCTTGACTTTTGACTGGGTCAACTCGTTGCCCGTTTTCTTTTGGTATTGGAGCCCCATATCCGATCTAATTGACCCATTTAAAAGAGATTAGGGTTAAATCTTATCCCGTCATTTGTTGAACGGGCAAGCCAAGAATACGAGAACGATAATCGTTGAGGCGATGGCGATTGAAGGGATTCACGGGACTCGCAGGCGACATTCACCGATCGGATGGCGAGAGAAGGTTGTCATCTCCGGTGTTCGACGGGTAGAATGGAAGAAGCAGCGGAACTGCTGTTGTCTCGGTGGGTGTAGCGAGGGGCTGCTCAAGCAGCCTCTCGACCGTTTGCTTCGTTACCGGTAGCGAGGGGCGAACAAGGGGAAAATCCGAAGACCTTTGCGAAGGGAAGAGAGGTCCGGAGGGGTCTGGATGGCGTCGTGAGCAGCAGCAGCGACGATGACCGGTGTTCGGTGGGTTTGCTCGACCGGAGGCGATTTAATTCCTTAGCAGCGTTTCTCTTTTTCCCTTATTCTAATCGTCTGGTGCGAGAGGAGGAGGTCCATTGGCTGCTGATCTTTCGTTGAGACCTCCAGTGGTTCTCTCGGTTCCAGAACCGCGAGGTGGTGATCGGATTTAATGGTGGAAGCAGAAGGCAAGTGGCAGCAGTGGCGACAAAGAGCTGGTTCTGTGCTTCTGTGGTGCACACGCATAAGGAAGCAACAGCAGGGGTGTTTTGTTTGGTCGCTGGCAGCTAACACACAGGTTCTCCTTTCTCTTTTCTTTTACTGTTTGATAGAAAATATATTGGAGTGTATGAAAGCTTGGTTTTTGATAGAGAGAAATGGAGGATAAAATAGATGTTTAGGTTGATTGTTTGATAGGGAAGGAAAGCAACACAAACGTCTTCTGGTTTGCAGGTATACACAAAGGAAGAAGAATCGATGAATGCTTTAACTAGCAGATGTTTGTGAGCTAGTTATCTGTATCATTTGTTGATTTTCACAGCTTCCATTGAGGAGTTTATAAGGTTATGGCTTTGAGTGTCAATTTGGGTTGAAGGAAGAGCGAAAGAAACCTGATCAATGTGCAGGAACAGGGAGGAACAAGGAAGAAGAAGTGAGAAGTCGTGATATGGTAATTCACAGCTTGAAATGAAAAATGAACACGGCTGTCTCATTTTAGAAAGGAAAAGAAACAACAGCTTGCTGTACTTCCTTATTTATTTCATTATTTGCATTTGTGAATGTATTTAGTTTCTATTATCTATTTATTTTAACGTGTGTAATGTGTGTATTTGATTTAAGTGGGTATTATCGGCGTTTTCCATCTATATACATATATATGTACTCTCATGAACGAGTACATGCATGATGTATATTTATAAAAATTCAACCAACCACATATAATTGATTGTGACACGCGGCTATACCTGAATATACATACATATATGTGGTGGTTCATGAGATTATTGAGTGTTGGGCTGTTTGATTTGTTTGTCAAATTACGTATCCGGAAGTAAGATACCATCTGGTATCTTATAATAACTGGAATAACTTATTTAGTTTACATTAGATTCACTAAAACTCAATGAATAAAATTACGAAGAGATTTACTGTGACTTGACTGTTCACAGTCTTTGACCTAAATTCCGGGATGTCACATTACCTCTCCTTTAAGGAATTTCGTTCCAAAGTTATTTTGTTCTACTAGTATTTCATTTCAGTAGTGGAGGGAGCACCGCTGAAAAGTAAGAAATACTTTTGTTTCATTTGATTCTCACGTTTCCCAGTAAACTCCGGATTTGTATGAGAGATCCATCCGATGTTTACTATAGTTATGCAACTTTGTTTGAGGCTTTTGAATTCTCGATCCTCAATATCCATCGATTCCTTCACGAAGTGAAGTTTAGTGTTGACCTAGATCTGATCGAGATGAAAGACAAGGTTCTCATTAAAGAGACACCTTTTTAAGACTTCACATGTGGAAGGTATCGTGAACTTAGTTAAGGTGTTGAGGTAAATTGAGTTTGTAATCCATTAGACCAATCCGTGATATGATTTCAAAAGGTCCGATATAATGGTGGTTTTTTTACCTCATTTTCCTTATCTAATGAGACCTTTCCATATTGTGGCCTTTAGTAGGACACAGTTTCTTAATTTCAATTCTAAGGGTCTATGTTATGATGTTAGCATTGTTCTTCTAACGACTACGTGTTGTCTTTTGATCGTTCCTTTACCTGAATAATCTCTTATATTGTTTCATGAATAATCTCAGGGTTAGTCAATGGAGTATTTGTAGCCTACTTTTTAGCTAGTTGGGTATCTCCAACTTCTGTTTTGAATGTCGGAGAACGGAACCTACATCTGTATAAGGCCTCGAATGGAGCAACCTTTATGCTTGTGTGAAAACTATTGTTATATGAAGACTCGACTCGCGGCAAGTAAGCATCCTATTCATTTTCGAAGTCCATCATACTAGCACAGAGCATGTCTTCCAAAGTTTCTATCTTTCTTCTTTTCTTGTCATCCTGTGTGGATGACATGCAGTACTCACGTCGAGTTTGGTTCCTAGGAACCTCTGTAATGATTGCCAAAATATGAAGTGAACCTGCTGTCTTGGTCCGAGATAATAGTTATTAGCATATAGTATAGTCTAACTATATCCTTAAGATTGGTCCTGTCGAGTTTCTGTATCCAGTCAATTTCTTGATGGCTAGGAAATGGACAGACTTTATTAAACGGTAAGCCATCACTCAAATGGTGTCATAACCGCTTGAAGTTCTTGGCAACTTCATTATGAAGTCCTGGGTCATTTTTTCCAACTTTCGATCTAGGATTGGCGGTTGTTAGGGTAATCCAAATGGACTTAATTGTTCTTTCCAGGTTAAAGCGTCTAATATCACATTTGTTTTACTAGGATGATAATGAATTTCGAATATGTAATAATCTAGCAATCCGACGCACCTTCAGGGTCTCACATTGAGCTCTTTCTAGTCGAAGACGTGTTAAGGGTTTTTGTGGTCGGTGAACACGCCACACTTTGTCCTGTAGGGGTAGCGTGTCCAAATTTTTAAGGCAGACAATACAAATCCTAAATCTAAGCCGTGGTCAGTATTGTTGGTCTTGTTTGTCTTGAGTTGT